ACATTCACAGTTCGTCAGTCATGTAGCTACTAAACAATTTTTTTTTTAAATTTAGTTACAACAAATAACATAGTAAAATTTCCAATGAATTCACTCATTGTAGAAATATGTTTTTTTGCTATTATTCTAAAACTTGTCATTCGACAGGGTAAAGGGAACAGCCAAGAGAAAAATGATTACTATTTATTTTAATTTTAAAAGAGTTTTCTTTAATAATTACTTGTTAGTAATCAATGCGATGCAATATAATTCTTAGGAAAACTAAATAATTATAAAACAAAGCCTGAATTATTAGATTTTTGTAACATCACTTATACTCGTGGAAAGAGTGTATTATTAACACTATTCTAATAATTTACCGTACCATATTTATATTTTTTCATACAAAATATAATTTTGATCATTGTTAAAGTGATACGATTAAATCACTGACTTGTTTGAAAATGGCAAGCATATTGTGAAGATTATTAATCAAACAAACCACATTATTGGGGTTTTGCATATATATAATTCAAGAACATCATTTACTTATATTTTCAATACGCGTTCCTTTCTGTCCATCCCATGTGACTTTAACTGGCTCACTAGCGGCCAATAACGTTGGTAAATCCAAATCTTCTACTTTTGGTAGCGGACATTGTCCTGTCAAAATGGTATGAGTCTCGGTACTATAACTTGAAGTTTCGGGTTCTAACCGACCTGGTTCCAGACTTAATCTGACAGTGACAGTATATCCATCACGTTCAGATAAAATTCCTTGTAAATTTAATGATTCCTGTTTTTCGATTTGATTTGACATCATTTTACCTAGTCGAGGTACACCACAAAAATGTTTAAGACTACATTTTTCCTTTATGCATTATAAGTACTTACTATTATGAATAAACTTTTAAATTTACATTTTTATAATCACTCAAAATTTCAGAAACTAACAGTAATAAAAAATTCAAGTTAGCCGTGATTTGAATCATTTATTTTGATTCATCATGAATTCATGCAATTTGAAATTAGGAGCGAATATCGAAACTTTGAGAATAAGTTAGTTACTATAAATTTACCTACAATTAAATTAATAAACAACAAATTGGTTTTATAATTGTCATCCTGAAAAAGAAGTTTATGTTTTTGCCAGAAAATACGATCCGCTAATTTTATTTGGCACCAAAATTGGGAAAAATATATTTGCGTATTGACTTTTCGTCAATGTTTCCTCAAAAACAGCTTTACCGATTTGAAAAATTTAAAAGCCAGTTGTTAGAATTCAATAAGGATTTGAATTGATTAGTTTTGCGAGACAATGCCATTTCTGTAGAATTGCCTGAATGAATTTTGATAATTCCAAAAATGTTCAAAAAATATGGGTTGGAAATCGCGCTGATTAGTTTTTGGCGAAGATCGGCCAAACCGTTTCTTCATAATTCATTGCTCAAAAAAATTCTTGACGATATTGATGAAATCTTAACTTAACTACCTAGAACTTTTTAAAATTTACAGTTTATTTTGAATTTGTTGCTTATTGTTCATTAATTAAGTTAATTTAATTAAATATTTATCAACTTGGAATATTGCAGATATTTGTTACGCCATGCACCAAATCTTTCTAATTACATGGCACTCCATAGAATTATATAGTTTCATCAAATTAATTTTTAACTAATAAATTTTCATTATTGTAAGTATTTAAGTGAGCAGCAAGTATTTAGAAATAATAATGGATAAAGGAGAAATGATTATATACATGCAACTTAATATAATTAGTCATTAAGTGAGATTAAACGCTGATATAATTACTTACTGTATTTTTATCATAAAATTATATTGATTCAATTTATTTATATCATATCTATTCGCTATTTCAGTATTTTGACTTATATTCAGATATTAATTTATATTATTTTTTTCAATGGATATACATTTTTTATCCTTGTTATTTTGTTCCTTTGTTATTAAGCACTATAATTATAAAAGTACTATATAAATACGATTAAATAAAAATCGAAAACAACAATGGTTAAAAAATAAAATATATAAAATCAGATCTGGAAGAAATATATAGATCAGAATCTGGAAAAAAATCATTGAAAATGTCTGATGATCTAGTAAAAGCTATAAAACCATTTAATGTAAGTTGTTCTTTACTTGGTTTTCATTACATCGAAGGTCATTCGGCAAATAGGAGCAAAAAGAAGTGGAACTGTTACAGATTTTGGAAGATTTAAAGTGTTCTTTTTTCATGATAACTTGGATTATTTTTACTGTCTATATCAGAATTGATGGAGGTGTGAAAATTAAGAACGTATTCAATCAAATTGACATTAGTCAATTTGTTGAAGCTCTTTTGAATATTACCAGAGATCTTTTGGTAAGCGACAAAAATAAATTTCTACTTAAAAATGCTTTAATAATTTCAAAATTTTATCATTTTTACGTGAGTTTCGGCTTTGCTCTGGAATAGAAAATTAAACTGTTAATACAATAATACAAATTAATACCAGGGTTGGTTATTTACCGTTATTTCCATAACATTATCTTTTATCTATGTTTTCTTTGAAAACTGACCTGATGTAGAAAATTTAAAAGTTGTTTGAACTCAGTTATCGACTAGCGTTGATTAGTTTTTACATTGTAATTGCCGGTTCAAAGAAAAAGGTTTCATCGACGTTTTCGCAAAATTTTTAAACTAATTCTGAAAATTTAAAAATCATTCAAAAATGTTTAATGTTAATTTCACAATTAACCGTATGTGCCGATATTTTTCATTCTAGTCTTTTTAAAAAAACAGATTAGTGTGCTGATTCGATTTTGAAGTGGCTTATGTATTTTTTAAAATTCATAAATACCATCAGATTCTAATAATTCTCGTAAAAAAATTAATAATAACTTTATTTTCATTCTAGGTGATCAGCATTTTTTGTTCAGAAATTTATAACAGTCAAAGATTAGGATCAGTGCTCGCCGACTTGCAAGAAATTTCTCATGCTTCACCTGGAAAACTTCATATAGGAAAAATTCGAAAAAATACTATAATATTTTTAAGTATCGGTATTTTGTTATCGGTACCACCAATGCTAGCTAGTTTTATTAGCGGATCTCTACAAAATATTTCACAACATTTAAACGCTATTTTACAATTTTGGAGTCCAATTTTAACATTTCTTTTCAAATGCAGATTAATATTATTTTGTTATTTGATTCGTCGAATGTTTGAAGTGATTAATGAGTCTTTGGTGACCATTACTGAAGAATTGAAACAGGTATGATTAAACAATTTTTCTAAATGCATTATTGTAAAAGTTTTTAAAAGCTATAATTAATATAAAAAAATTTAAAAAACTCATTTTTTTTAATAAAGGTTGAATTTATTAGACAATCTTTGTAAACGAACGGCTTAAACATTTGATAAAATTCTATAATGTTAAAATTAAAAAATAATTCGTTATTTATCTTTAGATTATCGCATTAAATTTAAAGACTCAATACTCAATTAATGGCGATGAAAGAAGGCTGACACAAATATATAAATTTGATTATACAAATATAGTTCTAAAAAAGCTCTTACAGTGCTATCAAGCCCATACAAAGCTGTGCAAGATGTCTGAACGCTTGAATTCCGTCTATCACTTTCCTATTATTATGTAAGTCACCATTATCTGAACAAATAATGAATGCCTTTTTTCATTTATACAATTTTAAAGAAATGGGCACAAAAGCTGTAACTAGCCTGTAGATAAATGGCTACTTTGTCAATTTTTTAACAAATGTATTTTTTTGTTGATATTAATTTTTGCTGTTGAGCACTGTTGTTTAGTTTACGATACCTGAATATAATTTTCAAGTATACGTTTTAAAAGGAGTTTTATAAAAAGTGTTATTATTATTTTTAATAGAAATTCATCAGTTTTTCTAAAATAACGTCTAGATAAGCTTACATGTGTAAAATTTAACTAATTTAAATTTTAATTTAATTTCTACGATGACGAAATTTAGCTGG